CTTTCAAATTATTATTCAATTTTAACAAAACTTAATAAAAATATACAAAATGATATAAAATTATAATTTTATAATTATATCAATAAAATTTATATTTAATATAAAATTATTGAACGATGTAATAATTAACAAAAGTTACATATGTGTCATTTAAACTCTCTTCTTTCTATATATATATATAGATCTCTTTATATAAATATAGATATATAATCACTTTTGTTTTTTTATATCTTTTTAACTCTATTTTATTGTCATTTTTCAAACACTATCATTAATATTATATTATTATAATATTATACTATTTAAGTATTTATTGGATAGAAAATATATTAAAAATAATTATACTAATATTATATTATTTTTATATTTTATGTTTATATTTAGTGAATGAAAAATATGTTAAATAATAAATGAACTATTTTTTAAAAAATAGAAAACAAGTATACTCTAAATAGAAAAGGTAGACTTATTAATCTTTCAACCGAAATTTCATGACACGTTATTGACAACCATTAATGGACCAACTGATATTTCAAAATTGGTGACCCATAAAACTACAACCAGTATTGAAATTCAACAGTCAACACGTGCATGCAACACTATGATTGCGATTAAAATAATGAGACATAAAATTGGTAATCAAACAGAACAGTGTCTCCGATGTATCTGCTTCATAACAATAACACTAAAACAGTGTGGTGGCTTTAGTTTGGAATCTTTCATTGTAATTTTTACAAATAAAAAAATGTGTCTTGTGATTAAAATACTAAAAAGTAAAAACCTTGTTTATGCAGCAAAGCAAGTCAAAATGATTGAAAGTTCCAAAATCTGAATAAGAAGGGGGTTGAGGGTTCTAAATTTATTTCACTTGCAGTGTTGGGATTCAAACAAGTCCCACATAGATAAAATAACACAATAAATAACAACTTATATAATACAAATATACTTCAATGATAGAGAGACCTTTTAGGTGATGACCAAAAACAAAACCGTGAGGACTAAGGCCCAAAGCGGACAATATCTCATCATTGTGGAGTATGTTTATGTAATAACCTTATAAAAATAATTCATAAAATATTCTCTCAGACAAATACCATAAAATAACCACGTTATTCTACTCCATAAAAAAATTGCTCACACGGAACATGCATGTGCCACTCGCCTTTCAAGAGATGCGCAAAATCACCATTCCAACTAGTTTTGTTGAAGCCGTGCAAGTTACTCTCTAACCATTTTTAGTTGAACATTTCTCAAGTCATATCAAAATTACTTCCTTTCGTTTAGTTGCACTACAGTATATGAATATAGCACGGTATTTTCTTAAATAAAAATATTTTAAATTAAAGTATTGATTATGTTTTGAATTGTGATTGAAATCAATTCGAATAACAAGTTATCTCAACATCTAATTAAAAGAGTTGTTCAAAGATAATGTTGAAAGAGATGATTACATAATTCAATTATTCGCGATTGATTATTTTTTAACATAAATTGAAGTTATTCTATCACTGTATTAAATCAAGGTAAAATAATCTTTAAAAAGCCTTGAGACTAGAATTCTCAAATGAACTAGACTATGTGAACTGATATTTGTAAATGAATTAATCCGATTCAACTCAAATATCTTATAAACTACTTATTTTGTAATTCGGCCTAATTTATTATTATGCCGAACTAGACCAAATTGTTTTGTTGAGTCAAACAAAATTATCTTATTTTATTTATTGTTTTAATTTATGAAAGAAAATTAAAAAAAAAATACAAGACTAAATAAGCCTAATAATTTAAAGCTTAAAAATGATTGTGTCATCCTATTGGCTTATTCTTTTTTGGATCACTTTCTTTTAGAGTTCAATTTGATATATCATTTTTTGACATCTCTACTTAAGACTCTTACTATTACTTTGAAAGAAAAAAGTTATATGCATTTATCATAGTATCTCAACATTGCCAAAGTATCTAATTATTCATGTCTTTGAAGTATGAGTATTTCAAAATTCATGTTGTACATGTATCAGGTTTGTACTCATATATTGATATATGTTAGGTACTTGTGGGTACATACTAGGTATGCATCTATTTTTTTAAAAGAAAAAGTGAGTACTTAATTTGGATACATATATGTATTTTTTGAATGCATATTAAACTCATACTAAGCCCGAAAAATAAAACCTATACATATTAACAAGAAATTTTAAAATAAAATCAAAGGATTAATTAGTAGGTCATGTATGGTGCAACAATTCTTAAATTTTAATCCATTGCATTGAAATTTTTCTCATAACCATAATAATCTTTTTGTTGTATGAGAAATCGAAACACATTCTTTTGTTCATTCTATGAAATAGGCTCAATCTTAAAATAGTTGAAAATTTAATTTTTATACATACAAATCTTCGTCTCCTCTCATGAAAGATCAAGTGTTGTGTAGAGGATGAGAACAAAACGTGAGATATTGGTGTAGATAAATGAAATTCACCTAAAAAAGTTGACGTTCTCAAAATTACTGTTCTTTCTTTTGATGAATTAAAGTTAGAAACAATCCTTATTATGAATGACAGACAAGAAAATGATGAAATTGAAATAGTTAAAGCGTGATATATCATAATCAAAGTAAGTGTGATATTATAATCACACTTTAGGTGTTATACTTTTTATTCTTAATATTAATATTATAGTTCAAGTGACAAATATCTTGTTTATTTATAATTTTTTTTTATCATTCATACAATTTACTTAAGTTTATATAATTAAAAAAATTATTCTCAAAATTACATTAACATATTCATAGCTTAGATTTTTGAAAAATCAAATTGTACCCGTATCCATATATATATCCAGTACTGTACCCCATATCCACACAACGAAGCTTCATGCTTATTTTGATGAACATGAATTATGGTTCAGTCAAAAATCAACAATTTTATATTGAATTTATCAATTTATAAAATACAAATATATTTAATTAAAAATTATAGAAAATTAATACTTAATTTTAACACAACTAAAAGTATTCAAATATAATTTTATGTTGACTGACTTCTGTTACCGATTCATATATAAAAATAAAAAAACAAAAACTATCGATCAACATCCCTTAATTTGATTTAAAATTCTTATGGTAATTGTGCTGATTTGATTTGATGCGAGAGCTTAAAGTTTTATCCATATTTGGATTGGTGACGTGTAATTGTGGACGTGCATCACCCAAAGCAATTAACAATTGCTTTTTCGTTATTTTTTTTATATATGAATATCCCATTAAAAAGGTGAAATGTAAATGTTAATCTAAACACATATTTTCAGGGATTAATCCACGCTTAAGTAAGGTCAGGGATTTGAATCCTGCCTTGTGTATACAGCCGCGTTAAATTTTGGGATTAGTTATCCTATTCTTTGAAGTACTTCCAATGTAACGAGAAAATTAATCACTACTATCGACAATAAATATTCTAGGGAAAAAAAACACATACTTTCAAACTTTATAATATATATGATGATTTTGGGAATCTATATTAAAGGACTATAAGAAGAAATGTTTGAAAACCATTAATTTGAGGTTATGATAATGATCCTTGGGATCTTAACTTGTTGCTTGATAGACCCTCAAATTAACAAGGAGGATGACGTGAGTGCAAAGGAAATAAGTGAGGATAACCATAACAAAGGACAATAGCAGAGAGATGGTGTGAATGAAGGTAGAGAGGTGAAACCTTGATCAAGGTTTGTACCAAAGAGTACAATAATGACAATGAATTACTTATGAGATTAAGACACAAAATAAATGTGTATTTTATTTGAAAATAATGAAATTAAATAATGTTAACTAACTTTTTAATTAACATATAAGTTAATTAATTTTGTTTATAATCAAGCCCAGAAAGAGATCCCAAATTAAATAAAAAAATTGTAATAAATTAGGTCTTAATGATATATAAAGACTTAACGATAGATATGTTACATCTATATTAACTTTTGTTAAAGTTTAGTGAACAAATTATTAATTAGTCATTACTTCTAAAGAACTAAAATATAGACAACAAATTAAAAAATAATAGTTCATATTCATTACAAAAATTAGTTAACACTATTTAATTATATTAAAAAAATAATTTTCTAAACTGCCTTTTATATTATAAAAAGTCATTGTAAATAACATATTAATTAAATTAAAGATATTTTAAAAATAATATAATTAAATGCATACCACCTAAACAAACCAGTTATTCTAAAGTGTTTGAAAGATGTAGGAACCAAACATGTTTCTTAACGAAACCTTTTATTTATAGCAAGTGACGCCTAATAACGAAACACAAATCACATCAAATTAGTCACGACCACTAAACATTTACATGATTCCTAACGAAAAGAAATTGAGTAAAATAAAATCCACTGTCCATCACGAGGTCCACGAGCACGAAATCCAATTCCTATGCCTAGTGAAAAACTCCACGTTCTGTTGTAGTCTAATAATGTGCGTCAATCCACAATCCCCAGAAAAGCGCGTTGGGGGTGGATCACCCAACGAACAACCAACAAGAGTTTATTATATGATGAATAAATGTATTTGATTTTGTTGTCGTTGTTGTTGGCGTGGAATCTCGAATTCCAATGGATAAGGTGAATTCAACTGAGTTTGGTTTGAAACCAGGGAACCTTCCAGCTTGTTACACCACACTTCCAAACTGTTAAAGAAACCCCTAGAACCTTAGATCATACAATTTACTATATTTTATCCAATGTTATTTTTATACATTTTGGCCACTATTTTATGGCCGAAAATTTAGTTTTATTTTGTGTATAGATTTTGTCAAATTTAGTGGTGCCCACATTCACCAAATTCACACAAGTGTCACATTCCAATTCCACCTTTAGTTCTTTTGGATTTTGATAAACTACAACTAAATTTTAATAAAAGGTTTATTATTATCGCCCTGGTTTTCTCAGCCACATGGACTAATAAAAAATAGGCAAAAGGTAAAAGACGATCGTGAATTGTGAGGTAGAAAACGAAGAAAATGTGGGAAGAGACCACGTTCAAAGTCTGAAGCAAACGAAGAGCGCGTGTTTGTGAAATATATATATATATAAAGGAGAGACCTCTCGCCCTTTGTGAACTTTCCAATTACCATAACACCTTGTATGTTGTTTCAGCGTAGGAGAAATTTAATGTTTTTTTTAATGTAATTAGGGGGGTCTGTGTCAGCATCAAGGGTTGGAACGGTTTTTGATTTTAACCCTGCAAAGAGCCTTCCTTTGCGGTTTCTCCTTTTGAGAAGGCTCTTGCGGGTTTTATTGAGAAAAAAAGGGGTTGTTTTTATTGTTGGATTTGCAAGGAGGAGGAAAATGATGCGGTTATGGATTTCTTATCTGCAATTGGTGGAGCTGTTTGTGAGTTCGTTGGTTCATTTGCTTTATGGGTTTTACATATTTAGCTCTGCTGTGGCGGGGGATCTGTCGCAGGCTGTCAGTGAATATTTTCACAAGTCCAACGTGAATGTTGAGGTGAAAGAGGGAGTATCAGAGAGAGGAGCAAATGATGATGATCTTCCTCCTATTGTGTTGGTTCATGGGATATTTGGATTTGGCCAAGGGGTGAGGCTCATTGTTTTTATTTATTTTTGTATTTTTTCCCTTGTTTTTCTTTCCAGTTTCGTCCTTTTGATGAATATCATTCTGGGGTGTTGAGTTGTCTGTGCCATGGTTGTTTTTCGCAGAGATTAGGGGCTTTGTCGTACTTTGGTGGGGCAGAGAAGATGGATGAAAGGGTTCTTGTTCCTGATTTGGGGTCTCTAACCAGTATCTATGATAGGTAGGTTATTGAGGCGTAAAATCTGGGTTTTGGGGTTTTTCTACTAAATGGGTGTGTGTATTGTTTTGTTTATGCAACAGAATTGAAAAGGGTTCATATTTTCTTTTTTGGGTCTCAGGGCTCGAGAATTGTTCTATTATTTAAAAGGTGGGCAAGTTGATTACGGTGAAGAGCACAGCACGGCTTGCGGACACTCGCAGTTTGGACGAATGTACGAACGAGGTTCGGTGATCTTAATGTTCTGTTTTTTGTTGTTGTTGTTGTTTTTAGTTTTTTAATTCTCACACTTTCTCTTTGTAATTTGCTAATGTTCTATGAAAATGTCTTTTGTTGTTGTTATTGGGATACAGGACATTACCCTGAGTGGGACGAGGATCACCCTATTCATTTTGTTGGGCACTCAGCAGGGGCACAAGTTGTTCGTGTCTTGCAACAAATGCTTGCTGATAAGGTTGGTCGGTCTTAATTGTTTCATGTGCTTTCACCTTTTTTTTTTTTTTCCTTCTAATTGTAAAGTGTTTTGTTTATTTATTTATTTGTTGTGATTTTCGTATTTCTGATAATTTGATGTTCTTATTGTCTTCAGTCATTCAAGGGGCATGACACTTCAGAGAACTGGGTATTAAGCATCACATCCTTATCTGGAGCATTTAATGGGACTACAAGAACCTACACAGATGGCATGCAGTGAGTTTTTATCAACTTTTGGTTATGTTGAAACTTTCAACTATTATTTTATAGTTGTTAGCTTGAAATGGGGTGGTTTGAGATTGAGAGAGCATGTAATAGTTCCAATTGCAAAAAAGACAAATAGCCGGGATGATGTATTTGAAAGACTATCCGGTTATGCTATTAGTTTCAGCATATTATATACATTCCTCAACTAATTTTTTTGAGCTTTTCAACAAAACTGCATGATAAGTAAGGCCTATATCCCCCATCATTCATATTGATCAATATCTTGCTAATTACCAGCATTGGTTACATTGAGCAAACTGAATGCTAAGCTAGTCTGTAATTTGAGTTTATTTCAGGCCAGAAGATGGGAGAACATTGAAACCTATTTGCCTGTTACAACTTTGCCGCATTGGAGTTATAATATATGATTGGTTCGACATTCCCTGGCTGAAGAATTACTACAATTTTGGGTTTGATCACTTTAACATGTCATGGAAAAAGATGGGCATATGGGGTCTTGTTGACTGTCTATTGGGGAATGCAGGTCCATTTGCTTCAGGAGATTGGATCCTCCCTGATCTTACAATTCAAGGGTCTATAAAACTCAATTACAATCTACACACCTTTCCAAACACATACTACTTCAGCTATGCCACCAAGCGCACAACAAAGATCATGGGTGTTACAGTTCCTTCAAGCATACTTGGAATTCACCCGCTGCTTTTCATAAGAGTTTTGCAGATGAGCCAGTGGCGTTTTCCTCCAGATGTTTCTCCCCCTTATAAGGGATACAAGTAGGTTTTTAGATGCAATTGATACTATTTCTTCTCCTTCTTTTTCAGTACTCAATTGTAACTTATCTCAAGCTTGATCAATAATGTAAATTTTGCTTGTGCAGGGATGAGGACTGGCTAGATAATGATGGAGCCCTAAACACAATATCCATGACTTATCCTCTCCTCCCAATTGAGCACCCCAACTGTTTGGTTGAAAAGGAATCAGATTGCCAACCCTTACAACCTGGCATCTGGTTTGTAAAACTACTACCGCATTCTTTTGCTCAATAGTAAATCCATAACATAGTAAAATCTAGCTGTGTATTATTTCCTTGTATCTAAAATTTTTTAGTCCACAAACTGTTTAAGTTGATTAGATTCTATAACTGCCATTTAGTCTAGCTTTGATTATACAACAAGGTTGGACATGATTGAATTGGTTAACAGGAGATCATTATAGTGCAGTGCCCTCATTTTATAAGTTGCATCAAATTTTAATTAATATAGATGTATATTATGTAACCCTAAAAATATAGATACTTGGTTAGACAATCTAATATTTGGAAATTCTTAATTGCTATACGCATTATCCATTGATTTTGAAATTTTTGTTTTTATTTATTTGCATGGATGGATGACTCCCTTCCATTAATAAAGTCAGAGAACTAGTGGACCATTCTTTGCAGTTTATTTTCTGAACTGAATGTGCCTAAAATACTAATTAAGGATACCAGACATGGGTATTCTGTTTGCAATTTAACTGTTAAGTAATGCCATTTAATCTGGTGTAAAGTCAAGTGTGTTTACTGGTTTTGCAATTAACACAATTTTTTGTTTTAAAAGATTTGTCTGTGTATCATTTGTTTTGAGAAATTATTCTGTACTGATCAATTTATGATATTTTGATGAAACAGGTACTACAAATTTGTGGAGGGTGATCATATACTATTCATTATAAATCGGGAGAGAGCCGGAGTGCAGTTTGACTTGATCTATGACAGTATTTTCCAACGCTGTAGGAAACATGCTTTTAGGAAGAAGCCTCCAACAATGCCTAATGAAATCCATCACTAGCTCACAATTCTTTATTCCCATTCAATTCAAAGAGATATATGAAAAGAAACAGGCTATTCATTTCCTATAATGTCCTTTCATCTTTGTAAATGTAAATATTAAGCCAACGTTTCCCATTTTTATACTACCATTTTCTGTAATTTGTAGGATTGTGAGAGATATCAGAGGCTATAGTCAATAGTTTCCACAATCACTATAGTGTACACAATTATTATCTCAATATTAAATATCATGAATTGTTGAGTTCTCTATCCATGTCTGCTCCATACATTTTTTAATTTTGGACTTTACAACTGTGTTGTGAAAGAAAAGGAGACGATAATTGATCAGAAATTCCCTCTGCCCAACATGGAACCTCTTAGATGTCATAAGTATAATAATCTAACCATTTGTTTTTTCAAACACGAGTATTTCTAAGCTGATATATTCACACTTTACAGACTCATACAATCATAATAGTAGTATTTCTTTAATGGCATGTGTTAGGTGGAAATAAGAGAGGAAACAAATACAGATAACAAAATATATTTTTTTGTTTGACTTAAGAGAAAGTAAAAGTATGATTTTTAAAAAATAAGTTATAATATTTTTTATAGTTTCACTTTATTTTTAAGTTTTTAATTTAAAATAAATATTTTTAGTCTATAATTTTTTTTTAAAATTTTTATAATTTAAGATAGATTTTTACGTACCAATACTTATAATTTTTTAATTCTTTTAGTCTTTATTGTTAATTTTTTTTAATCTTGCATCTTTTATGTTAGTATGACAAATATTAATTTAATTTTGTATCTTACGTCAAATTTATTTTATTAATTACTTTAAATTAAATTTTTTGATGTTTTATAATTCTTTTATATCCTCATTATGTGATACTCATTGTTGAGAGATATTTTTTTTTTTTTTTTTATCTTGCAAAGTTAAATATTTTTACTATATTAATACAAAATATATAATGTTACAAAAAAAAAATCAACAATAAAAATTATAAAAATTAAAAATTTGTAAATATAAGACTAAAAAAATTTATATAAGACTATGGAAACTAAAAGAATTGAAAAATAAATATAAAAACTAAAAATTTATTTTAAATTACAAAAATTAAAAGGTAAAATAAGTAAAATTATATAGACTAAAAAAATATTTTAACATTAATTTTTTTTCTCAAAATTTTATTCCTTTTTTACTTTCTGTTTTCCAATTCAAATAACAAAATTTACTTTCCACTCTCTTTCTTTACCACCGTTTTTCAAATAGGCAACAAAAGAAAAGGCTTTTGTGTACAGCTTGGAATCTATAATTTCCATAGTTTTATGCGGTTGATACTTAGCCACGCAATTATTATAAGAAAAATTTGTAGTTGTTAATTAGTAGTTGTCCTTATTTTAGGGGTCCACTGGTCCAGATTATACTGAAAGTCATTCCACTAGTTCAATGACAGGTGTAAGAAGACTCACAACAAAAGCAAGCCAGAATGAACTCCTTTCATATATATATATATTTTTAATTTGAAATTACTGTTGTGATTTTCTCAGCTCTATGGACAAAAAAATACTATACGAAAGGTATGCTATGTGATTGGTCATTCGGAAGGAAACGAAGAAAATGTGAAAACAGACCATTTACAAACGAAAAGCGTGTAAGAGGCGTATCAGGTTTTCTTGAAGGTTCATCATAACCATACCATAGTTTATTGTGAAATACTATGAACACTTCAACACATTTTTCTATTTAAAAACTTTTTATAGGTTGATATTTAAAAATATATAAAATTTTATATAACTTCTTTCATAATTTTATAATTTTTTAATAAATTTGAACCAGTAAAATAATGTTTTAAAAGGAGTACATTAAAAGAGTGTTACTAATTTTTCTCTACTGATATAAGTTTAAGGAAATACCAATGACATATTCTTTGTTTGTCACACTATTCAAAACGCACTTCTTTGGTATTAGTAAAATTTTATTAAAAAAAAAAATGATTTTAGGATAGAGGAAACTTTGGTGTGAGGTTCTAGTGTTACACAGTTTTTGCATTGAACCCCTTAAACTGCTACAAACAGGCTTGTTTTGGGGTTTGTAGGGCAATAAAAGAAGGGTGGTGCTTTGGTTTTGGAAGTAGTTAGTTGTTTTTCATGTTGGGGTTGCAAAAAATAATGAGACTCTGGAGTGCATGTTATGAGCAGTTGGTGGAGGTATTAGTGAGCTGCTTGGTTCTTGTGCTATATGGGTTTGACATTTTAAGTTCAGATGTTGGTGAAGATCTCTCAGGGGCTATTGCTGAAAATGTTAAGGTGAAAGAGGAAATGCCAAAAGGAGAAAGAGAAACCCAAAGCCACCATGAACTCTCTCCTCCTATTGTGTTGGTTCATGGCTACTTTGGATTTGGCTCCTTTGCCAAAGGGGTGAGTCTAGTGTAGTCTATTCCTTACCCTTCTTTATTTATGCCTTAAATTTCAATCCCCCCAACTTTTTTATTTTTAATATTTCCATTTCTCTATATCTTATTTAATTTTGATGTCTTTGTTTGACATATTCATTGTCTTAGAGATTGGGTGCTTTGTGTGACATTGCTGAGGCAGTGAACAAAGGAAAAAGGGTTCTGGCTCCTGATTTGGGCTCTTTAACCAGTATCTATGATAGGTGAGTTCTTTCATCTAGACACTAAGGCACTCTTATTTTTTTTTTTTTTGGGTAAAGATAGGAAGCATTATAAAGATAGTCACAATGAAGATTGAACCTAGGTCTTCATGCTTCTAACTACCCTAACTCCTCCCTCTTAATCATTAGGCTAATCCTAATTGTTTAGGGCACTCTTATTTTAATACCACTATACAACTTCTAATAAATAAATAAACAAATAACTAGCAAATGCACGTTCTGTCATAATATATTTATTTAGAGTATATTTTGCGAGATATTTAAAGAAATTATAACTTTTTTTATTATCAATTTATAAGTTAATTTGATAAAAATAAATTTGTTTAACATGAGAATTTTATTTTAAGAATTTATGCTATATTTTTACAAGTTAATTGAAGTAATTTATAATTTATACACTATCAATTTTTTTTATTAATTTGTTTGAAGTCTTTTTTTAAATTTAAAAATCATTTTTTATTCATGCTATTATCTTATTTATATTATCAAATAAATAAATATATTATTTTATATTAGTTACATAATTTTACCAAATACTTTCAATTTAATTCCTTAATTAACTTATAAATTTTCAACTTTTCAACTCCTATTTTATAGTAATTTATAAGTTTTCAGCAAGCTTATTGGCTAGTTTTACCAAATACACCTTTAACAAAGAGAAATGATACATATATAATAGATTGTACAACAAAGAGAGAGAAAAACTATTATATATGTATCATTCCAAAGCAAATCATAGCTATATAAAATAAACGTTTATTTTGTGTTTTGCATAGGTTAAATATTTGTTATATTTTAATATTATATTTTCTTTATATATAAATTAGAATAATTATCTTAATTAATAAGATTAATTTTGAATAACTATTTACATATACTCAATATATTTTAAAAAATTTATTTATTACAATATAATCTTAATTGTATGAAATAGACACTTATTTTATGTATTGTACAAACTAAAATATTAAATTAAAATTTTGAATACTGATAAAATATTATTATTTTTCATTATTTCTTAATTTTTATGAATAAATGTAAAATAAAAATATATCAACGAGCTTAAAAACTAAAATATAATTTAAATCTAAACGTAAAATAAATCTTAAATTTTGGTATAATTATATTAAAATTATATATTTAATTAGAAGCATTTAAAATAATTACAAATAAAAATTAATTAATTAGCTTATCAAAAGGTAATTTCCATGACACAATATCTTACCAATATAAATCAACAGAATTTTAACACCGTTAACAGGTGAAGAATTTAATTGCAAAATTTTTAAACTATATAATCATTTTAGAAATATCTTTTTAAAAAATATAGACCAACAAATTGATTTAACCTAAAATATGCCATCATTGTGCAGTGTTATAATTGTTTTATATAATTATGCTATATTCACTTTGTTTAGCAGAAATTGTGTGTTGATCAGTCAAATTTATTGTTCAAATTTTGCCAATGGTTTGGCTTTATATATATATATATATATATATATATATATATATAT